GATGCTTTCTTTCATATAGATCTACTTATTGAATAGGGTTGAGTTTCTTCAGGCCCTCTTTGCCATCACAGAGGGCCTCAAAAGACAGCTCTTTTGATAGCCAGCTCCAAACTTCCTGCGGAGATTTTATCAGCCTCATACTTCCTCAGTTTCAGGAAAGCCATCAAAACTACTTGGTCCACCTGGAACAGGAATGCTTTGATTGGCAGTGAGATTGCAAGCACCCTATTGTTATTCATTGGCTTAATTTTTTATTCTGGTACTTTTGATACTTTTTGGTGTTTTTGCCTCCTTGTCTTTTTTATTGATGTTTTTACATTGTTAGCTGCCTAGAGCAGAGATAATTTATTCAGATATTTATTCACTCCCAGAGGGAAGAAGTTATGGGCATCTCTTTCTCAGCCTACAGTAAAACAAAAGTGGAAATAGACCAAGTTGTTTGGCATTTTGCAAGCTGTCTCGTCCCCTGCTGTAGGGGGGAAATAGAATGGGGATCTTGAGAATTTACTATTATTCTAATATCAATATTCTGCACTTAAATATGAAGCATATTGACCCTCTGGGATCAAGCCAGTTCAAAGAGCAGTGCATTCATTTCTAAGCATAAACATTCAATAAGTGGATGTATGAAATGAATACTTGATTTGGCTACAAATCCTTGCATTCGTTTCCAAGCTTAACAGGGCAGATGTTTATTGCTTAGATGATGTCCTCTTTGCAAGTATGAGGGAAGTCACATATTGCAGCAGCACATTTCCAACTTTTTATCAATTAACTGAAGACTCGGGAGATTTATAATCCTAGTATTAAAAAGGTAATTGCAATATTATTATTTTATCAGACTTGTCAACTCAGGTGTGCCTCAAACGTTTTACACTATTGTTGCCCACTTAAGGGCTCCAAATGGGTGGTAGTTATTTTGCAATAAATGAGCCTGAATTCATGGCAAGGACAGAACTAAATGTATAATACAAATTCTACTTGTGTGAAGCTAGGTTGGATTAGAAAATGTTTTCAGATCTTTTAATCACCTTATCCCCTACAAGGCTGTCATCTTCATACTGAAACTGGAAAAAGTTAGCAAAAATTGACCCCCTGAGGAACATCCCTTGAGGGGGTCTAGATCCAGATCAATCTATGGACCCATATAAAGATCTTTTCAATCAAAAAAATTCAGTAAATAATACTTTCAGTTAATAATCTGTTACAATAGAATCCTTTATATAGCTACATAATGCTTATTTATAAGCATTGTTTGTGTCAATAAAAATGATATATTTGTTTTCTGTCCATTGGTGCCCCCCCCCCAGAAAAAAAAAGAAATCTGGTTACAAATACTAAGAGCTATAGACAAACAAATCTAGAGAATGCCACATTATAGAAAGCTGGTTCACAGGCCTGATAACATGGATTTTTCACATTCATAGGCTGCTTTTCAGAAGTCAGTTCAAATACATTTTACTGTTTATACATGAATTATCATCCATATAAACTGTATAAAATACATATCTTGCAATAAAGAATTTCAATAGAATAATCCCTTGCGAGTATTTTTAAAATTTGTTCAAGAGGGTTGTGATCTTAAAAATGTGTAATTTTGCTACTGACTGTCAAGAAAGAGACATAGAAGATCATAGAAGATTATTTTAATTATTTTGTATCCTGTACCTTCAGCACACAAATGTTCTCAGGAAGAAGGCTAAGAAAGTAAAAAAGACCAATGCTTAACAACACATGGGAAAGGCAAAACAAAAACACAGCAGCATAACTTTAAAAATCAAGGGAAGTTATTAATTTTAGTAACTATGTTCTGAGGTAAACAACTTTGTATCTCTTCTTAACCACCACTCTGCAAGCATATTATAACAGCTCAGTGCAAAACACTTTGAAGTTACACATTTATGATAAGTACAAATATGCAAAAGCAGCAATATAAGACTAGTGCACATTTTTGTTTCTTAAAAACTGTAGTTCTATTCAGTTATGTATTTGTTTTACAAGCCTTAATTATTCATATAAGAATTTTATAAATACATCTCTGTAGGATTGCAACCATCAAAACAGCAGGACCAACATAATTTCTGATAAACAAAAACGTTAGTGCAAACCGTTTGGTAAATCATTCCTAAACATAATTTTTTAAAATTTCAATAGTCAGCTAAGAACCAAACTATATTTAAACAATTCTCAATCCTTATCTCATCCCCATTGTTTCCACTTGTGCAAGAGATAATATACCCAGTTGGCTGAAATAAATGTTTCAATATTTTAAAATAACATTCCCCATAAAAACAAAATATCTTCTGCGTTTTAAAATGCAACCCATCTTTTACTCTAAATCCCTGTATGCATGCTTGTTAAATACTTGTTTCACTTGGAGTCACTGTTCTACTGTATGTTATTTTCAGCATTGGATCATAATGTTGCTGACTGATCAGCATTATTTATTCCATGGGGAAAGGAGGTATATAAATATCTGTCTTGCCATATTAGCATATTTCTGTTTCCAGCTGTTTTCTTTTAACCAGTTTTTTTAAAAATATTTTAACCCATTTTTATATTGATTGATCTAACTCTTAGGAATAAACTAGTTTTTATGCCCTGCTTTCCCCATGCAATTTATCAGATGACTTTATATTGTTTCTCATTTATAATTGTGTATGTTTACTAGTTTAGGGTTTTGCATTAAATATTTTGTTTACAATGCTAAGAAAATTTATTTATATAGCCACTTCAGACATATTTCAAGCAGCATCCTTGACAGTAATAAGACAATTGTTATAATAACTACTTCAGCCAGTAGATAACATTCAGTGACTTGAGGATACACTGGCTGGGAGAAGTTTTAAATAGACAATCAAGTAGGAAAGAAAATAAACAATGGAAAAACTGGTTATAATCAAGAGGTTCACAACTGTATTGACAAGTTACTGACAGGCCAAATGTTCCCTAAACAACAAATAGCATTCCCTTCAAGTTTAGAATCCTTATGTGGAAAATCCAGAGGTAACTAGGTTTGTAGAACTGAAAAATACAGACTTCTGCTAGACAGAAGAACAGAATTTTCTATACAGATAGTCCTAGATTTGTTGTTCATTGATCATTCAGACTTCTAGCCCTGCTAATGAAAGAAATGACTGGTCCCTGAAGATATTGCAGTGCTTCCACAATCATGACTGCAGAATCACTTTTATGACTGCAGAGATGCTTCGACTCTACCTGCTTATCCCACCCTCTCTATTCCCTTTCAGCCCCTGGCACTCCACAGCTCTTGCCACCCCAGCTGATCTCTGCCCTCACTCCTGCTGCTGACCAAGAATGCCTGGCCCAGCCTTTCGCAAGGCGGTTACTGGTTGAACAAGATTTTCAAAAGGGTTTCTTCTGCAAATCACACATGGCTTCATGAGGTCTAGAGATGAAGGTTTCACAGGGCCAGCAGCTACCACACTAAAGGCCAGGACAGCCTCACCTCATCAGCAGTAGAAACAAGAAGAGAGCGAAGGTCAGTGGGGCAAGTAAGGGCTTCAGACTACAGGGTAGTGTGGGTGACTTGGCTAGGGAGATTGTAGCTTTGCACTGCTGGGCCAGACTGGACTTTGACCTGCAAAGGTTTTGCACTGCACTGTGGCTCAGGGGCTTCTTGGAGACTTAGAGGGGTGATGCACCTTTAAGTCCCTTTGCACCACACTGCTGGGCTGTGGTGGCTGCAGCTTCCAAGGGTGGCTGCTGTGGTACGCCAAGAAATCCCAGAGACAACACAGTTCTAGGGATGCTTCCCTCGTCTCACAGGAAAGGCAGGGTTGCCAAAAGAGCAGAGATGGGGAGAACAGGCAGTAGGGCAAGTTGGTGGGGCAGCAGTCTCTTAACTTAGCAAAAATGAGGTTCGGGAGTTGGAGGGACCAAGCCCAGAATGGCTTGGATGGATCTTCAGGTAACAACTGGTGGAATTCAGTTAACAGGGTGTGGCAGGATTGCCACAACTAAAATGATGCAGTCATGTGATATTATGTATTATAACCCCATCACTTAGTGATGGAAATTCTGGTCCCAATTCTGAAAGTAACTGAAGGATTACCTGTATCAGAGAATTCTTCAAACTTTTGCAACCAAGGTACAATAGCCTTATATACATCAATAATGGGAGTATTGTTTCTTTTCTTATACTATATATGAATATCCATGCTTTTTGAGTCTCCAAAGAATGATTTTCACCATTGTGCTAAGCTTAACCAATATAGAACAAACCACAACCAGCTTTATAATGGACATGAATCATACGCTATATTTTAAAGTCACAATGTCTGGTTTAGTACCTGCTAAACCAAAACAATGTCTGGTTTAGTACCTGCTAAACCAAATCTAGCCTGCTTTAGAAAATAGGCTAAGGAGAAAAAAATGAAGTTAATGGATGTTGTTTATAACATCTGCAAGATCAGTTAAAGGATGAAATTGTGGAAGAAGGTGCAGACTTTAAAAGTAGGTTCTCTCCCTTGTGCCGATAATGATTTCTATTTGCATCATGAATATAAAATCCAGAAGTTACTTTAAACCAATCTTTTGACTTTAGATGGAATGTACACCACTCAGGTAAAGGGCACAAAACAAAAACTAAAAGCTGAAGATGACAAATAATCATTAAGAAACAATCAGTAGAAACTTTACCTGGGTGGAAAAGACATTGTCTGACAAAATGATTTTTTAATTACATATGCCCATCTCCAGTTTAGGTTACTATTGCTACTATTGCTTGAGTCACAGTCAATATTTCCCAGGTAAAAGACAACCATGATGGCCACAATAAAACAAAACCTGAAATCTAATAATCTTTATTAATGGTTGACAGACAAGGCCAGATACTGATTGAAACAGCAGAGGTCATAATGTCCTGCATTTTGACCAGCTCATTCTGCCTGCTTGTGAACACAGCACATACAGCACAATATTAAAATGTACATAATGTCACAGGTAGGCAGAGATAGGCCCAACCATTACTTTGCTGGCTAAAGAGTTTTGTGGAATTTCATGTGGAAGCGAAACTCTTCTGCCTTCAAGAATATTTTATCACACAGCGTACATTTAGAACCTTTGTCTTTGGAATGTGTGCGTCGCACATGACTGTCATGGGCAGCGTGTGAAGCAAACACTTTACCGCAGTGCTTACACTTGAAGGGCTTCTCTCCTGAATGTTGGCGGATGTGAGTACGCAGGATGCTGGAGGCAGTAAAGGCCTGCAGAAAGGTTAAGGGAATGGATAAGAAAGTAATTAGGTCCCAGAAAGAGAATGCCGGAAACATGAAACCTTTGTAATAATCAGGGGGCAGTCTCAGTAACCGCAGTATTAATAACTGGGGGATTCTTCATCTCATGCTGCTCCTTAATCGAATAGTTTACATGTAGCATCTTTGCTACAAACAGAAGAAAAGCAGCCAGTGGGGCAAATTCAGAATGGTTCCACAAGTACAGCATCTTAGTGAAAGATGACCCAAATGGCTAATGAGGGGACCAAAACATTCCAATTTATGAAAAGTGTAAACATTGCAAGAGAATTGCAAGAAACATCTCCTTACCTTGTTGCAGTATACACACTTATACGGTCGTTCTCCAGAATGCACCCTTGTGTGCTTGTTTAGACTAGAGGACTGAGAGAAACTTTTACCGCACACAGAGCACTAAAATGAGAAAAAAATATCTTATCATTCTGTAAGTTATAGCAGTTATATCCATTCTGGTAGGACATAGAAATGTGCAAACATTCATTTCATGCAGGTGAATTACCACAATGTTACAGCAGCTTCCCACTGCATACACGTAGAGCTCTGAACTTTTTCAAAAATTATTTGGAAGAAGTGCTTCAGATAAGCTGGAAGCAAACCATCTTTTGGGAACTTCAGAGTTGGAAAATATCCAAAAATATCCCTTTGGAGCATGCAACCAATTTCCCAGTAGGAATAGGGTTAACACTGCAACATGCACCAAATACAGTGAAACTTCTAAGCATATATGTAATTTCGGTCTTAAATTCAAACTGTCTTCATAAGTGTTTAAAAGTTATAATAAGACAAGCAAACTAATCATTTAAATTATAACATTAATTTTAGACTCTATGTATGATGATGTATATGTACAATGTCATAGTGTATATATTCTATCAGGTGCGCAATAATTCATATTTTAAAAATATATATACAGGTTTTGTTTCCAGACAATCTGATCTCCTCTGTTGCCAAAATAGTATTAAAAGGCAACTCATATCCTAAGCATGCCTCCTCAAATGTATATCCCAATGAATTAAATTGCACTTACTTTCAATTACAGTATGTATTTACTTGAATTGCAATCATGTGTACTTTGCAGAAAAACTAATCTATCAGCCTCACTGAAGCTTCCATTGCATGAAACAAAAAAATTATTTTTATCTATCTCAATGGGAAGTTCTCAGAAATCATTAAAATCAGATATTTTTTTAAAAAAATATTGCACTTATTTCCTGCTTGGTCAGACATCTTGAATTATTGAAAATCTACTCAGAATATTAAATATCTAATCTACTTCTTAATTTCTTTTAAAGCCTCAGTTTTTGGAAATAAATATGCTTTAAAAAGAAATCATTTTAGTGGCTAACTTCATTTGCATTGTGCTCCTAACAGGCTACGGCCTCCCAGGAGATGATGCACAGGTGGTTGCTAGTGGTGATAAATGCCTTTCTGGCGAAGGGGTAGTGCTTCCATCCTTTAGGGTTCTCCCCCTCCCTTAAGAGGCCATTGCTTGATCCCACCTATATGGATAATTTTCATCCTGACTCCAACCTTCCCATTTCAGAAGGTGGTTGCGCTGCAATCCCAAAGGATCCTGGATATCCCTTTCATGTGCAACTCAGGCAGGGATATGGGATGGAAATGTCATTGGTTGCACTTTTTGATGATCTTTGGCAGGAGCAAAATGGGGGTAAAGTATCTGTCTATTCTCACTCCTTCACAGCAGCTTCTGATACTATAATCCACGCTGTTCTTCTGGAAGGGTTCCAGGGATTGGAGGGCACTGAGTTGTCCTAGTTCACTTCCTTTCTCTGAGGCCATTCTTGCTGCTGATGAGAGGTGACAAATCTGGCTGCTGTCTTTCAGGATCTCTCAAGGGTTGGTATTTTCTCCATTCTTATTTAACATCTATATGAAACCTCAGGAGGAGATTACCTGTCACCATGAGGCGTGATAGCATCTATATGCTGACTGCACATCTTTGGGCAGAATCACCACTAGATAACCGGATGGAGATTTTTACTATCAATAGGTTTCTTGATTTTTGCGGCCCAGTCTGGTGATGTTCAGGAATCCTGGCTGAAACCAGACAAGCACTGAAGCTCTAGCACAAGCCAGCAAGAGAGTCACTAACATTCTTCACTTGGGCTCCATCCATAAAATGATGACCAAAAATTTAGAAGACTACTCCTCGCATACATGTACTTATGAGCTACTAAAATACTGCAGAGAGCATGACTTGCAATAAAAAAACCTTTTCAATCCTTTGAAAGCACCAGGTAATATTACAAATAAAGACTACAAGAAATGGTAGTTTGGCTTCAAGCATTCAAATTAGAAGCCTAGAACCATATTTAGTCAGAAATAAATTTCATGGTGTTAGATTTTACTTCCAAGTAAGACTGCGCACTGAGTGCTTCTTGAGGAGAATTCCAACAGAAAAATAATCAGAAAAGAGATACCATCTCTCTCCTTTGTCTTATGCTAATGAAGAAATGCCTGTTCCAAAAGCCCAGTCCTAAATCCTGAGAAATTGAAATGAGATGACATTCTAATTATGCTTAACACCACTTTCTTCATCGCTTCTGCTTCTGTTGTTGTAAATCAAGGAGGACTCCCCAGAGATTCTAGTAGAGTAACATAAAGATACTGAATGCCTTACTTTATGAGGTCTGTGCTTCTCATGAACATGGAGAATGTGGATTCTCAGACGATCCCGTTTTTCAAAAGACCGGTTGCAAAGATGGCATGGGAATTTTCTGTTTCCTTGGTCCACACATCGTGTGTACTTCAGATGCTTGTCCCGGTAATATCTGTAGGCAAAGACTTTTTCACACCGCCCACATTCATAACCCTCCACAGATTCTACAAAGAAAGGAGGAAAAAAAATCACCCTGAGGACCTAAAGACAACTTAGAGCAAACGACATGGGCAGCATTCAGAAGGCAAGTATAATGCAAAGATATTTTGTCTATGAAGATTCTCAGTCATCCAGGTCATGGTTGTCCCAAAGGTGCTTTTTCAAGAGACAACTGGACTTTCTGGATTTTCTTTGAAAACCTTTCACTTCTCATCCAAGAAGCTTCTTCAGCTCTTATTCAGAGCTGAAGAAAGAAAAACAAGACAGTCCAGTTGTCTCTTGAAAAAGCACCTTTGGGACAGAGTTGTTCTGTATAACAAAGGAAATGACTTCGTAGGTAAGAAAACACAGATCTCTTATGACTGCATTGATGGGGTTGCCAGCATTTTAATTGAAAAGTAGCTTCCCTTCCTGAAAATATATTTCATGAATTAATTCACTTTTAATGCTCACTTTCTATGTTTTTGCCTCTGAGAACCAAGTTGATGACCCAAGGGTGGAATATAAAATAAACACAGTCACAAAAAACAGGTGAAGCCCCTTTTATTCCTTCACTTTTCTTCCAAGCTCCAAATATCCTTGACTAGAGACAAAAATTCCCACACAAACACTTACCAGGAGGAGGAAATGCCGTTTAAATTATAAAGAGTAAAAAACAATACAAACCAGGCAAGATAATGGCTGGAGGATGTCTGCAGATAACAGAACACACATTGGGAAGGACACCAAACTCAAGAGAGGAACCATATTTTCACGTTTTGTTTCCAGCACTTGCCCTTATGCATGTCCGGCCTCTTATTCAGTTGTCACAGCTGCAGCCCATGAAGAGGATGCCTCTCCCTTATCCTCTCCTCCCTGTGTGCCCTAGGATGGAGAGGGGATGGGCCTGGGTCCTCCTGACTGCCCAGCTGGCCTCTGCCCTTCCCCAGCCTCCTCCACAACCTCCGGAGCCACACTTTGTCTGTTCCTCTTCTGCCTCAGAGTCAGTCTCCACCAGGGGCATGACACAAGTATAGCTACTGTACCCATTTGAAAAACATTAGCCTCCTCCAGGGATCAAGAACTGTGTTTGTGTCTCAACACTGAGACCCAACTGAATACCCCAGTCCCCCGTTTTCTTAGAAAGAAGGATCCTTACTTCCAACCATTAGCCTATGGGAGATTGCTGGCCAAATCAAGACATTGCTTGCTTGCGGAGCGCACTACCCATAGTGGACTTAATGATGGTTCATTCTAACTACAGGGTTTTTTTGCATGTTTGCACAATTCCCTAGAAGTTTTGTGGGGATAGGCTCTCGTAACATGCAAGATGATAAATTGTTTATGTGTTAACTGCTATTCAGAGGGGAAAGATTTGCCTACTGACCTTCACTACGCTGTGGGGTTTGCTTTTCTTCTGCTGTTCCTTTGAGGCTGATAGGAATGCCAAGAAACTGTGAGTAACAATCACCATACCAGACCAGAAGTTCTTGGCCCGGTGTAATTTCTTTGCAGCTCTCATAATAGATCTGGTCCTGGCACTGAAGGGCTGTCAGGTTTTGCTCCTCTGGGAAGCGGGCACAGTTCACTAATGACATCCAGTTTCCAGAAGAACCTCTGCCATCAATGAAATGACTCAATTGGCCATCTTCAAAAATCTGCAAAACAAACACACAAGTTTAGGAATGCAAACATCCAGGTATTTCTTGGGCAAGGCTTTCATACACCTTGTTACCCAACACTGAACCACCTTTAATGCCCAGACAATTGAATGGTTGACTTTGGGGGAAAAAGCAGAAGTTATGACTGAACTTTATGTTCAGACTTAGAAGAGGGATGTTTTCTTGAGAAAATTCCTTTGGGAAAATAAACAAATCCAGGGATGGAGAGGGTGATATCTAACCCGCATAGTTGTACCATGCATAGCAGGCATGGGAGTAGGATGTACATCGTTTCTGTCTCTCCCCCCCCTCACTCCCAAACGCTACCACCTTTCAACTGTTCGGTCAGCAAAAAGTCAGAAAGTGGGATTTCAAGTACCTCCCACATCAAAGAATTGTCATCATAAGTTTTAATCTCGCTGGTGTTGACCACTTTGCCTTGGAAAGGCCCAAACCGGATACCCTTAAGAATGGCTTCTGTGCAGAAGATACCCAACTGTGGGCCATCAATAAATACAGTCTTCAACACAGTCAGACCTAAAGGGAAGAATCCAAGTTGGTTAATCAAGTCAAAGCAATGTTACCAATAAAGAATTCAATGATGGCCAGCAAAAAAACATTCCCAAGTGAACAAAAATGTATTACCTTTGGGAAGTTGCAGACTTGATCTATCCAGCTGTGGGACTTGACTGTCAGTATCTCCTGAAAGAAAAGCAGTTACGATGAGGTCAACAGGGCTTTAAGAAGAGTAAGCAAAAATAAGCAAATATGCTCAGATTGAAAACTCTTCTAAACTAGAATTAATCCAAAATAAGCTGCCATGAATTGCCATAATATAAATGGAGCAGTAGCTCTACCAGATATGCATCAACTACCAATGTCCAGTTTAACCACCTCTGTTTAAATGCCTGAGATGAATCACAGAACAAAGTGGTTCAAATTGCCACTGAACTGTTTTTTTTTTTTTACAGGGAGAACCTCAGGTCTTGCAAAGGAGATGCATACAAAGAGGATAAGGCACCATTCAGAAAAACATTATAAAACTCTTATTATACCATCCTGGTGGGAGTCAGGAGAGTTGTGAACCAATGGATCTGGAAGGGATAAGTTAGATAAGCCCATTTTGGGCCATTTTATCTTGAAGATGTTTACTGAAAATAATTTTCATGAAATTCCCCACACAATATTTTGATAACAAAAACATCAATGTCCAGTCAAAATAACATGCCAGAGCAATGAAATCAATGTAATTATAACTAGGACAATTAGCAGAAGACTACTGATTTTTTATGTAGTTTTTAAAGCAAGGGGTATTTATTCAGGTATTTATTTATTCCACCCCTAAACTATCAAAGTACACAGCTCTTCTTCTTCAACCATTTCACCCTTCTCCTCTTCCCTTTTTAACATCCTTCCTGCTGCAGAAAAGGTATGTGCTGCTGCTGCCGATATATATTAGTTCTCCTGCCAACCAGCATCCTTGATGCTTTGAATCGATGTTTGCTTTTGCCAGGAATCAGACAACTAACTGGAAAAAAACCGCTACCAACCAAGATCAAGGCAGGTTCGAGAAGTCCTTAGGCACCAGATCAAAGGTTTGCTCAGCCTTTCGAGGAAGGGATCCAGAACCAGGAGAAGTCAGCCTCTTACTAGAAGAGAAAGCTGCTTCCAAACACCCTCTTAGCAGAATTTCCGCCCGCTTCCTCCTCCCTCGCGATCCAGGGCATCTTTCCTTGGGCTTCAGCCCGGCTGATCGAGACACCTAAATATCAGAAGAAACTTCCTGCGCGGTTTGGTTTAGCGGGGCTTAAGCTCAAAGAAAGGCGCCAGTCCGTTCTCCCTTCCGAGAGTGAGAAGTTTTCCTCCAAAGCAACCCACACGCTACGCGATCGACGGAGCAATCGCGGGCCATCCGAGCAAAGGCGCCTCTCTATCAAACTCGCCCAAAGCAGAAGAGAGGCTTTCGGGGTCGAGGTTGGGTGGAGTCGTCCCAAGACCCGCAGCGAGAAAGTGGAGGGAAAGCCCGCCTCCCTTACCCGGACTGGGGCCCACCTGCCGAGAGGGCGCGCGGCTGCCTTCCGCCGGGCAGGGCGCCGTAGAGGACGGCGTGGAGCTCCTGAGCCGTGAAGCGGTAGCTGGGCGGGCGCTGCTCGGAGTCCGGCGTCCCTTCGAGGCTCCTTTTTCTGGGCGAAGCTCTCTTCCCGGGCAACGGCGCGGCCAGCACCGGCACAGGCCGGGCCGGCGGCGGCGGCCGGAGAAGAGGAAGGGTGGGCGGCGGAGGTGGCAGTGGCGGCGGTCTCAGGTAAGTGGCGGGTAGCCGCTGGAAGGGGAAAGGCGGCAACGGAGGCGAGGCCGGGCTCAGGGCCCCGGCAGCTGACGCCGGCGACTGGAAGACGACCGTCGGCGAAAGCGCGTCGAAGAAGAGCGGCGGGTGCAGAGCGGGGCCAAAGGAAGCGGCGCCGGCGGGACAGCTGTGAAACAGCATCACCATGGACTCGCCGCCGGCGCCCTCGGCAACGCCGGCCTCTTTGGAGGGCGCGGTCCCCGGCAACGATGAAGCCATCGCTACGCGCCCGTCTGGAAAAGACGCGGCACCTGTGAGGCGGAGAAAAGGCAGAGCTGAGGCAGCACGCTTCGGGGAGGGGCGGCTGAGGCCCGTAATCCCCGCCCAGAAGCCGAAGTGTTGGGCCAACCTGTCTGGCGGAGGAGCCGGGGAGGGGTTACCTCAGGGCTGGGGAGCCGTGCTCGGCAGGCACGTGCCCACTATCTCTTCGGTGGGAGTGACCCCCCGCCTCCCGCGCGCTTCCCTTTAAGGAGGGCGGCAGCTCAGCCCAGAAGCTTCGATTGGTGATCCAATGGCCCTCAAGGTCGGAAGCCCCGTGGGGGAGGGAAGCGCAGCCCTCCGCCCTTTTCCTATCCCTTCAGCTGAATTAGGCTATAACGCCCGCCGTATTGACCTGAGATTGTTGGCTTCTATATTGCCATTCACGGGGAGCGCAGGAGAGCGAGAAAAGCTCCGGGGAGAGCAATTCTGACCTCCTCCCGACCGCTATATCGATACGTTTGAGAGAGAAATTGAGTGGCCGGTGCAAGTATGATCTATTTCTGCCTCTCGTGTCGCTGGGAAACGCATCTGACACGATGAAAGGGGCTACCTGGGAAAGGATGGGGGTGGCAATAGATTTTATAGGATTGCTATCCACGAAAAGCCCTAAAAATTGACTCACTTCCTTCCCTTTCAGAGGTCCTTGGTGTCAAATACGTGGGTGCAAAGACTTTATTCTAAGCAAGCCAAATCCCATTTTTTCCGGGAGCAAAAAATAATTTGCGTAGTTTGCTATACAACCGCGCCTGAGTGTTTGTACACGTGTGTGTGTTTTATTCCTTGGGAAAATGGACTGCAGCCTTGGTTCGTTTTAGGAAGACTTGTCTCCTCGACCGGCTTAATATTTTTTCTGAATCCTTCCTAGCTTTGCAAGTGCAGGGCTCTTACAAGGACATTTCTATAAGTGGTGGCTCTTTAATGATGAAACCGGCCGTGAATAATCCCCAACACAGAGAATTACTAAATGAGTAAATTGGATAGGATTGCACTGCAAACGTTTCTCGGAGGTCCTTTGCGTGACTGAACTACATCAGACTTACAACCTTTTCTTCCTCTAAAGCCGTATTTCCAGGCATGCCTGTTTTGGACCAAGCTGTGACACAATTTACTCCTGGGTAAATTTGCCTAGATGGCGGCTTAGCTGAGAATGATTTGAAAATATATTTTCCGGAAACGATTTTGGGACCTTCCAATTCAATCTCATACCTGCCTCCTCCCAAGTCGTTGTTCTGAATGAGAACTCCACCGGCAAAGACCCGTGCCTTAAGTACCCTTAGAGCCTTTATTTCCTTTAGCGGCTTTTCTGCTCCCAGCTGCTACGCGAAGGCTCTCCCGAGGGAAGCCGGCCGCCGGGACAAAAGTGCCGGCAGACCTTGGTGGACGAGAGCTGCAAGAGGAAGGCAGAAAAGTTCGCCTTGCAACACAGATAGTCTCTCGTTTTCTAAATTAGGCGCTATCGTAGTTTCCCGCTACAATAAACCACGTTTTTCTTGCTGCTCAGCCGAAGGACAGCTGCTTTGCCCACGCGGGTCCTAAGCATATTTTGCTGGCTGGGGAACTGCGGTGTCTTAATTGGGGATCGCCGTCCTTAAACGGCAGCCCGTGTTTCTTCGGGAATCCCTTCACCCCTCCCGTAGCGGGCAGACCCAAAGCAAAAGGCTCGGAGAAGGCGCAGCGGCTCCGCATGCAAAGCCGAGCCTGTACGCCGCCGCCAGTTAAGAGACGGGGTAGTTCTTTGCCAGCGCCCGAGGGAGGAGAGCGGGGACCGGAGCGTCCCTTAACCTCTCACTTCTGTTTCCAGGGCTCTCTGGGCCAACTCAAAAGCAACTCGATTCATTTCAGTCGGCCTGGTCCGCCAAGGCAGGCGGATAGGGCCCGGGGCTTGCTTCTCTTGGAGGGTGGGGACTGAAGGGTGAGGACGGCTCCGGCTCCCCGGTGTGGCTTCGAAAGCTGCCTTCCCAAGAAACGGCAGCGGTTCCCCCAGACTACTTCGTCTTGCTACCCGGAGCGCGGTCTTCTTTCGCTGCACGCGGGCTTTGCGCGGGCGAGTAGCGCGCCTTCCAAAGGCCCACCTATCACTCCTGCCCTTCTCGCGGGCCTGCGCTCCCAGAGCACCGTTTCTGGCAGCGACTTGCTGGCGAAACCGATGTCGTCCAGCTCGGCTCCTGCCTTCATCGACGGGCTCATCGAGGTGAATCGTGGTTTTCCACAAATAACGTGGATTCTTAGGGTACCGTGAACCATGAAGGAACTCGGAGTCGGGAACGAGCCACTTGGTGCGCTTATTTCCGAAGGAGGGCGCAAAGTGCCAGAAACACAGAACAGACCCCGAGCACCCAAGCTGCGTTCGCACAAAACCGCGCACTCGAAATTTGTAACGACCCTACTTAGTGCGTGGCTTCCTTCCGGCATTGAAAGTCTGACCGAGTCGACCTCAAACGCAACCTAATCTGGAAACAATGCCTGGTTTACTCGACAGACTTCCCGCCCCTTGGAATGTGGGAACCCCACCCCGTCGGGAAATTATGACGCCTTGAAAGTGCAGAGACCCCCAGGATGGTCAAAAATGTCAAGATGGCAGCACACATTAAGGGAAGTGTTTCAATCTCACTTCGTGGGCCGCCATCTTGTGCTTTTCGACCATACCTTGGAGATGCCCGTGAACGTGAATCCCGCTGTAGGAGACAAAGGTGCGGAATGGTGCAGCAATTCCTTGTATAAAGTTTAATCTCATTCTTGGAGCAGAGCCCGAATTGAAAGTCGTTCTGCAGCGATTCTACTTGCTGGATGACTATCCCCACGGGAGATAACAAACAATAGGCTTGTAATCCAACAGAGGTTTAGGCGTGATGTTTCTCAGGGCCGACAAAACCAGCTTCCTGCGCCCAAGCTTCGCAGTTTCGGGAGGCCAAGCCCCCTAAGCGGAGTCGGCCTTGTAGCTTCCGTTTGAGCCTTTCCTTGCTGAAAGCTCCGCAAGCCGCTTTCCGCTAAGGCCACCTACGTGGGCCCCCAAACTCGGGACGACCGTCTCGTGGCAGCAAAGAGACGCCGCCCGCCTTTGTGGTCACCCGATGTTCGCCAGAAGTTCTACAGCGCAAATAAACTCGTTTGATTTTCCGGTCAAGGGACCCTAAAAAGAGAGCGGGAGGAGACAAGCAGGCCGGCCGGCCGGCCGCTCTTGGGACTAGAAGCCGAGCGACGCCTCCGGACTTATAGGCAAGGGCTAAACGAAATAGGCCGAATTGAAAGGGGAGAGCTGCTCCTGTTTTCCTTCGGCCTTCCCGTTGCAACACCGCGGCTTTCGACAGGCGTCTTTTGGTCGGACACGAGGTTTCCTCCCCCCCCCCCCCCCGCTCTCGAATCGCTTCGTAGCAAGTCCCTTCCGACCGAGAGTCTCTTAGGAGTTAGCAGTCGGAAATCAGAGAGGATTAATTTCGAAAATGTCGAAGTGCTTCTGTCCAAATGGATCGCTCCGAGTTGCATCCCTCCGACCTTCCACCAAATGTTCCAGGGATTCGTCTTGGAGCTTTCTTGCGAAAGAAAGGACTGTAATAGTAACCGTTTGTTCATTAATTAAAACAAACAAACAAACAAAGCTGGCCTAGCGGTGTGGAAAACTATGTTATTATGTTGTATTTGCTTACAAATCCACTTTCTCCGAGATTCTCCTTTGTGTTTGGAATATATAAAACGCTCGAATAAATGGCCATGAGAAAAGAGGGGAAAGGAGCTGTATCCACGGCCGCACTCCCCGAACTCTCTCCAATCGATATCAGGTGAACATTAACGAAAAGAATGAATCCAACCAAAAGAAAAAGGCTGGGCGTTTTTTCCGAAGTTTTGGGTTCGATTAATGCTTGTTACCATTTCAAACCTCGTACCCAAAATATAAACCATACGAGTTACCAAAACGAAACGGGTCGTTTCCTGTCCCGAAGCGACGAGTAGCTGAAGTGTTCATCAATTTCAGCCGCCTTTCTCTCCCGCCTCTAAACTAAACATGAGCCGGCCAGAAAAAAAATGCAATTTTTTCCCCTCCCAACAGAAATTTCTTCTAACGTTGACCCTCCGTTAACGAGTCAGAAAAAGCGAGAAAAACCCACGATGGCTTGTCTAAATCGAAAGGTTCTCTAAAGGCAACTGGATCCGCTTTCCTTTGATTTTATGGTGTTGCTCTTGGGGTTGGGGGAGGAAACGGTCGTGTTTCAGATGCCCACAGCCAAGTAATAATCGGCGGAAAGGAGTGCTGTCCACCGACAACACGATCCCCCGGGAGAAACCGGTCTGAACATAAGATAGTCCCATTGGCACGGGGGACGGGGGAGAGGTTGGGCGTCGATGAAATATTAAATCTGAGCTTCCTTCAGAGTTCGGGTTAGAATTAGACCAATCAAACCTTGATCTAGGGCTGTTTAAGGATTGCCGTAAAAAGCGTGTGAAATGATATCTCTAGGGGAGATATCAAGTCGGTGCATTAACTGGGAAGTGGTAAGAATCCCCTTCTGCCCATTTAATTGAATTCGTGCACTGCTTTATGCTGAAAGGTTCAGAAGGAAATCCTACTGAATTCTATTGGATACATTCTTGGCAAAGTTTGTATTTTAGAATGAAAATTTAAAATTAAGGACATAGCTTTCCACCAACTCTTACATTATTTACTGTCAGTGTACAAATTATTTGATCAGACTAGCTTTCACAAATACAGAAATAACAGAATATGCTTCAAAATTACCTTACAAAGTTTTCTATAGGTACCATGCATGTTTGCTTATATATCCAAATGCAGACTCCACTGAACTGTTTTTGCTTTACTATATTTGCTTGTCTCAAAGATCTTTATTGAATATTTCAAGTAAACATTGTAATATTCAGAATGCATTTTTTAAAAAAAGTCATTCAGGTTACACTCATCCATTATACACAAGGCATGTTGTAAAGAGGAATTTAAGTCCTTGTTACATTAATGTATTAAAAATATACAGGGAATATGAATTAAGAAACAGACTGCCACCCCATTAAACTTTCGTCAAGCAATTAACAGAATAGCTACATTAAAAAAGTATCTACAGTAGACATGTTAAACTGTTTCCAGAACACCTAGAAGTTCAAAACTTAATAGGTCATTTGGGAAAATTAGCTATCTTTTGAGGGGTTCCAATTATGGTTCCTCTTTCCTCCCCCTCTTCCAACTCAACTTGCATAATACTCCCTTCTCCAGATTCTCCCCCCCCACCCCTCCAACCCTCTGTGGGGCTAGGAAAAAGGGGCTGACCCGTTTCTCTCAGCAGCTGTGAGGGGAAGCCAGTTAAATCTGGCTCAAGATCTGAAATACTAGGTTCAGGGCAGATTTGTGGGAGAACAAATTTGTTAAGTGTCACCATTGACTTAATCAATGTGGTCCTCCAACGCCTATACTGCTGGTTACATCCGTTCACACAATATGGTAAGTGATGGTTATGTAACCCTTGTTTATATAATAAACCCATAAAACAGATTACACTAGAAACAGTTGATATTTTGGCTGCTAATGTCACCCAACTCGATAGAGAAGATCTGAAAATCTTGGAGAAGCAAGCCAAACAACCAAGACATAGGAAGTCTGCTCACAGCTTGGCTGAACTACGGTTTGTAAGTAGGTCACAAATGGATGGGTTCACGGAACCTAGCAGTACAATATGACTGACAGTCGCGTTAATTGGAAGCAATATGTCCCGAAGAAAGTACATTTGAGTTGTATGAAAGCCGTAATCGTTTAAACCGAACCGCTCGCATAGCCGAGCTGGGAGGAGCACTGCCTTGCTTCCTTTTCTTTGAATTCGGTTGATTTAGAATCAAGTGCGACGGAAACGCCTTTTTAGGAGGACTGGGAGCATCGGGGGTTAATAGCTGGGCTTTCGCTACCCCACCCCACCCCGCCCCAACCCTCCCGAAAAAGAAAACTGCTGGATCTAGACAGGGGCATTAGAAGCGATCGGAAGGTACGCGGACGCCAGAAAGTTCTTTAGCGTGGGGAAATCCCGAGGTTACCGCCCTGAGCCTCCGAAAATTAACTTCCTACCCTACTCCTTACGGAGATCCGTCTTCCTCAACTTCCAGGAGATTGAGGAACTGTTATGCAATTCCTCCGGAGCGGGTGGGTCAGATTCGGAAAGGGCGAATAAATGGCTTTGAAGTTCCTCTGGTGTTTAAATCTTTCCTGCATCTGATACCTTACTAAAGGCTGGTCATCCTGAAAAAATCCTAAACCAGAGGTCTCCAAGTTTGGCAACTTTCAGACTTGTGGATTTCACCTCATAGCTGGCTGGAGAGTTCTGGGGGTTGAAGTGCCACGTTTGGAGACGTCTGTTCTAACCATGGAAAGATGATAACTGCTTGCTTGCGAAAGGCACGTGTTGGGGACTTGTTTATTTATGAGATGGTATATAACCTCCCTCTGTACAACTTCAGATAGGGTATTCCACTTCCTCTTTTCCCCCAACAACAATCCTGTAGGATGGGTTGGGCTGAGATGGCCCCCAAGTTCTCTGCGCAGCTTTCATGTCCAAGGACTCTTTCTACCCTAGCACCTTACTTGTTGCACTAAACAGACACTCTGTTGCTAATTCAAGTAATTCATGTGTAACATTGCACACACACAAAAAGGGTCTGTTGCAATCAAATGTATTTTGTCTGTGGTCAGATATTGTTCCGTTGACTCTGGCACTCTGAATATAGGCCCCATGGGTGATTTTTTTTTTTTAGGTAGCTTTTAAAAACTACTTTATTAGAATCTTTATGGAAGGCTCTTTTGGGGACAGCAAAGTATCATTAAGCTTCCCTTATTGGAACAAGTTTAATACCTCATTAAATTACCACGTTTCATTTTTCCTTAATGCTTTTATTGAACTCAGCCTTACCCAGCAGCCTAGTTAAATAAAATTAGGCAACTGCAGTGATGTATCTAGACATCCAAATATAATCAAACTGGATTTCAAGCTTAGAATTTAGAGGCTGTAACACAAACACTAATACCCAAATCTCCACAGTGTATCCTTGTTTTACTACAAGCCATACTTAAATAGACTTCCACCAAAGTATTTTTTTCACTCTGTTGGGATCCTAATGCCTAGTCTCTTAGCTAGCATCTGGGATTCTAGGAGTTGTAGTCCCGACATATTTGAAGGGAAAGACAGGCTTGGCTTCTTTTTTTATAGTTTTGCTTTGCAGATGAATCATGATGTGGATTGTTACAACCCTAGTCACTGCCTTTGACAGATTATGTTTTATGCCTCCTTTTCTGTGAACAAGAACCTGTTCTTTTCCCATAAACTATGACTTAAATTATGATACAATGTGTAAATGCATCATGAAACACTGCTGTTGAAACCGCATTCAGATGACAGCAATTTGTAGCTCAAACAGGTGGTGGTCTTATTATTTCTTATTTACATTGTTATGTCACTCCATCTCAGAGAAGCTCAAATGCTACGAACTCTCTCATTCTTATCTCCACGGCAAATTTTTGTGGGATAGGCCAGTCTGTTTGTCTTGTATCTTGCTCAGTGGGGAAATCCTGAGGTTGCCGCCCTGAGCCTCCAAAAATTAACTTCCTTCCCTTACTCCTTACGGAGATCGTCTTCCTCAACTTCCAGGAGATTGAGGACAACTTAACTGGCAATTTTAAGATGTGAGGATCCAGAGATTCTGGGAATTGAAGTCCACAGATCTTAAAGTTGCCAAGGTAGAGAAACTTTG